GAAGATGATGTTGTCTGGTTCCAATCGGAGAATCCAATCTGTTCATCGTCACTCTGGCATGGTATTTCATTTTCCACTTGCTCAAGAAACTCTAAAAAATATTCAAATTTTAGTGTTATTTGGACAGTTCTGTTGCGTTATTCTATCGAAATGAAATGAACTCCCTCATTTACTAGTACTCCTATTTATATTTCTTTTTTTATGGCTTTGAATTGAAAACTCTTCCTATCTCATGTACTCAGGCAGTTGCTGGACTAGCTGCAGATGGGAGGCAAATTGTGGCACGGACAAAATCTGAAGCAACTAACTATGAGAGGTATTTCAGAAGTGGGTGTGGTTATGGCTACCCACAATCACACAATATTGTTCAAAAAATACTGATTCTATTTGATTTGATTGTTAAGAACAATTAATAATTAATAGAACAATTAATATTTGTTACTTAATAAATTAAAATCAGTTTATAAACTGATAATTTCAGACATCATGACCAATTGTTTAAAAAAAATTACAAATATCAATCAAACTGAATAAGTCTTGTGCGGCCATAACCATCCCCTTCGGAAGTTGCTGTGATGTTTTTCCATAAAATTTCAGCTTTGATTTTTTTTGTTTGTCATGTTGAATGTTAAACTTACTCTATTATTGAAGAGAAGGTATCCCGGATAGTTTTTTGCTTTTTACGTGCTCCATCTTATTGTGGAGCTTGATCTAGATCATAGGATATCATCCTATCAAGCCCTAGTGTTTAGCCTGAATCTATCTATAAGGTTATGGTTTCTTCCTATTACCATATTTCTATAACTCAAATTTCTTATCAAATTGGTCCTTTTTTTTTTCATGAAGTAGTGTCTATGGTGAACTATTCCTGTGAAGGAACTTGCTGAACGTGTAGCAAGTTATGTGCACTTATGCACACTCTACTGCTGGCTCTGGTGTGTTATTACTTAAATGTTCTCTTGATATTTTACATCTCTCTTTATTTAGTTTAGATGTAAAATTTTAAAAATACTTACTGCTGCAGGCCTTTTGGATGTGGGATAATTCTTGGAGGTTATGATAGAGAGGGACCTCAATTATATATGGTCGAACCATCTGGTATCTCATATGTAAGTTTATTTGTCCCAATTATGGATTTACTTTTCATTTGTGGAATGACTCTTTGGGTATTATTTATATTCATCCCTTATACATAATGTTAGATTGATGTGGTCGAATTTTTATTCTTTATTATTATTATTATTTATTTGGAATTGTTCTGGCTCACAATTTTGGTTTGATAATTTGATGTAGAGGTACTTTGGTGCTGCAATTGGGAAGGGAAAGCAAGTAGCAAAAACGTAAGTTGGTTGTTGTTTCTTTCTTTCGTATGGGAACATTTGATAAAATGATTATTGTTGTCCTTCAAAATCCATTTTTGGAGGATCGTTGAAATATTTATTGTGATTGCCATCTCAACATAATCTGATGCTCGGTTCATCCACTTAAAAAGATGCCCTTTGACTCGTTTCCCTTTGTGGAACCCCAACCTAGTCAATTTAGGCCCTTCCAACACATCTATCAATTTCTCAAGCAAGTGAATTTATGCATTATTTTTTTGTAAAGAAAAAGATCAATGATAGAAATTTGACATTTGTTTAAGAAAAGAAGAGGATAAGAAATGGTAGGGAGCTAGATGTAGTGAAGTAGATGACAAGCATGTCCATGTGCAGATTCAGTTCCTCTCATTTGTTCATTCGTAACTGAGGTTAAACAACTAATTTATTATGGTCAAATGGACATTTGTGAACAGAGAAATTAAAAAGTTGAAGCTCTCTGAAATGAAATGCAGAGAAGGAATTATTGAAGTTGCCAAAATGTGAGTATGCTTTCTTCTTTCTTTTTCTTTTCTCTTTTCTTGTTTTCCCTGTCATATACTTGCATTTAGAGGGATTTCCTCTATTCAAGAGTTTGTCTTTCAAGGTAGTTTTAGATTCATTTTGTGCGTTATTCTTGGGCAACATCTACAAGGTACATGATGAGGCAAAGGACAAGGCCTTTGAATTGGAAATGAGTTAGGTTTGTGACGAGTAGAAGAAACAACATGAAAAGGTAATATCTGATGCTCTTTTGGATAAGCATTTTCGTAACGTATCCAACTGGTCTAGAACAGTGAAGGTCCTAGTCCTACAAGAGAAAAGAGCTTTGGTTAATTTGGGTGAAGCACGTTACTCTGTCTCCCCCCTTCTGGATCCAGAGAATATTAGTCTTTTACTAATACCTCTTGACGTGTAGTAACTTCATTTTCCTCCTCGTGCTCACATCTTTCATGTAAAGATATTTGAACGTTGAAACTGGTTTTCCCCCATTTCTCTATCTAACCCATATTATGTGTTAGTTTAGATTGAAGTATTGCTGTAATTTTCATTCCACTATATCCTTCCCTTTTGGCACTCTTTTAGGTTTCTGTCGCACTGTTAGAGGAAGCAAAGGCTGCTGCTAGAGCTGCACCGGAAGAAATGGATGCCCATTAAGTTTTACCGAGAGCTTGTAATCCTTATGTTTTGATCTTCGAATCTTCACTTATTTCCCGTTGTCAAGAAGCCGATGCTGATGGTTTTATGTATGAATGAATTCATTGCTCAAACTCGTTTCCCCCATATTATATTTGTCTCCTTTTGTTTTAAGAATGTAATATGAATTTGACTCAGATCCTATATCAAGAATCATCAGTTGCAAAACAAACATGGATAATTTAATAAAAAAATATATTAATCTTGATTTT